GCATCGCCCCGGCGCGCCGCGGGCGCCCCCCCCTTCGTCTCCCGCGGGGAAGAGGCCCAGCGGGTCTCCCTCTGATCGGGCCCGAGGCCCTCAGCCGCGCCCTCGGGCACCGGGGGGGGGGGCGCGTGGCCGCGGCCACCCTGGGTGCCGGGAGCCACGGGCCGACGCGCCCGTCGGTGGCGCGCCAGCGGACCGCTGCGTCTCCCGCGGGCTGCGGCGTCACTGGCGGCGGAAGCGGCAGAATTGCGCCACCCTCTAGCGGCCCTGGGCCAGCCCCTTCCCCGCTCGGCTCGGAATCGCCAGCCGCCACCTCGATCGGCGACTTGGTGAGGTCAAACCGGCCCACGCAGACGAGACCGGGGGCGTCGGGCCAACCGTCGAAGCCTGGATGTCCGTCGCCTCGGAGCCCAGCGTCCGCCCGCTCTCTGCTCTGGCGCCCGCGGCCGCCCCGGCGGCGGCTGGGCGCGGCAGCAGGGGCGGCGGGGCGCCGCCCCGGCGACGGCCTCGCCGTCGGCTGGGCGGGGACCCTGCGGCGGCGCTGGCGGGGGACCTCGCGCCCCCCCCGCGCGGGCAGGGCCAAGGCCTGCGCTGCAGGCAGCGAGCGCCTCGACCGGGGAGGTCTGCCCCCGCGGCGGGGCCCGCGCCGCGGGCGGCCCTGAGGTCGTCTGAGGTCAAGGCTGCACCCAGCCCGCATCTCCAGGGGCTCTTCGGCCGCGGCGCCGGTTCAGGCGGCGGCGGGGCGGCCTCGCGCCCGCGCCGCGCTGGCCGCGAGGGTCGCGAAGAGGGAGCCCTCCTCGTCGAAGAGCGGGGCTGCCTTGGCCAGGATGGCCGCGCGCGCCGGCGGGGGCCCGGCGGGGGCGGCCCGCCCCCCACGCCCCCGTCGTCGTCCGCCAGCGGCTCGCGCGGAGCGCGCGCCAGGACGGCGCGCCCCAGGGGCGCCCGCCGCTCGGCGCCGCAGCAACCCCGCTGACCTGGCAGCACCAGCGGAGGAAGGGGGGGCCCAAAGCGGGGGCAGCCGTCGCGGGAGGCGCGCTCGCGGCGCGGTCGGACAGCAGCGCGCAGGCGGCGCGGCGTCCCCTCCTCAGCCCAGCCACGGGCCCAGGCGGCGGCGTCGGCCCCCCCCCCACGCTTCCGCTCGCGCTGGCCCAGCATCGGCAGCGCGGCCCGCCCCCGCGGGGGGGTCCGCGAGCGGCCCCACGGCCCCGGCGCGACGGCGCCCGCCGGCGCGAGGAAGCCCGACCCCCAGGAGCGCGCGGCCGCCCACGTGCAGTAGGGGGCGAGCTCGGGCCGCGGGGCGGCCCCCCGTCTTTTCGGGCGCCAGGTGAGAAACTGCGCGCCTTCTTCAAGCGCGGTTCGGATACCCACCAACGCGAGACATTCAGAAATTCTGCATTAGTTGCTCGGTACATTCTCGCGCCAATATGTCGAGCAAAGGTCCGGTTCTTCTTTCCACATCTCGCCAATGTCGGGGCGACGTAAGACCCGGGTACAGGGGGCTCGGGAATCCCCGACGAGGTCGTCAAAAGAATGACGAGGCCGAGCCTGCACTTTGACGAGGCATCCCGCTGCAAACACCCTACGAAACTCCCACTCGTCAAAATCCGAATCGCGGTCGTCAAAAAACGATGGCGAACCCGAGTCCTGGCAAACCCGGGTCTTACGCTCCCCCGACAATGACCTTCATGAACCTGTCTCTGTAGAGCTGCGCGGATTGAGCAAAGACAGAAAAATTAGCCTGTTTCATCGGGGGGAGCAGAGACGAAGCCAACAATGTTCGGCACAGCCATTTGTTCTCGACTGACTTCGGCCAACCTCGCGCCCGGAAATTGCCGCACCCACGCTGCCCCGAGATCCTCTAATACGGGGGCCGATTTCCCAGGCGCACTCGATTGCTCACCCCAAAGGCCCCAACCCCAGCCGCATGTGGCAATATCAATGGCGAGCTAACAGCTTGCCCTGCAACTGCCGGTTGGGCCGCCTTCGGACCCCCCGGGGGCCCCGCCCCGGAGGCCGCGCTACCAACCCCGGCTGATCTGGGATAAGTGGCATTTCCATAACAACATCTGTTGCCCCTTCGCCTGCCCTCGCAGGAGCACGACCGCCAGCTGAATCGGCGGCGGGCACGGTCGGATCCTCGGGGGCGCCAACATCACCGCCGACATTGGATGGGCGCGACTGCGAAGAAGGCACGGGGCCAGATGGCGCGCCCGTGCTCGCGCGGATGCCAGGGGGAGGCGCATTGGAAACGGGCCCATCCTTCTCGGCTGCCCCCCCTGCCAGCCGCTGTCTCGCCTGCTCTGAGAGAACCTCTGTTCTAGCCATAAGCTCGCTATCTTTGCGGCGGCGGCCGCATCCGTCTGAGCGCCCCCCCATCACTCTTTCGGCGGCAGCTGTGCCTGACATGGCCTTCGCTTCTCCGAGGGCAGCGTCGAACTTCGCCGGGCGCGCCGCCGGGCCTCGTCGTCGCGCCCCCCCCGCGACCGTCGGCCGGGCTGACAGATGGGCCCGGGCCCGACGAGTCGGACTCAGCTTCGCTCTCAGCTTGCACGTTGGCCGCCCTAGCGACTTCCGCCCATGTCGGGCGCGCGGCACCAGGCGGCACCATGGCAAGCTATTCATCCGTCCGAGTGCCCGCCCATCGATTCGTCGGGTAGAATCTCACGGGAGTTGAATCTGCCCGTTATCTCATGGGGCCAGCGTTCCGACGCGAAGGGGCTCGACTTCCCGACGGCAAACCCCCTCGAGAACACCCCGCTCCAAATGTCTACTGTCGCCGAGGCCTGGGGCCCACTCCGACAGCGCAGCGCAGATTGCATCGCACTCGGCCTTTCTCCGATACTACTCTATCTTGACATATGCCTCATCAAACCCTCGCCGCCTCTCAACACATGGCGCAGCATCGCCCAAGCGCCCACGAGGCGAAGCGCCGCTGGGGCCCACGCATACAAGCGCAATTCCAACAGCGCGATGCCGTTCGGGTCCGAGCGGCACTTCTGCAGCTCCGAGTTCTCGGTGCCGTATGTTCTGACGCCGAAAGCCATCCACGACTGCACCCCCCGCCGTCGCGCACGTCAAATGCCGGAGGGGCGCGCGGCGTTCTTCTGACCTCTTCTGTTATGGGATCATCATCGTAAAATGGAATCATCACCCTCGCGCAGCGACGCATGCTCGAAGAATGCCCTACGCTGGCACCTGCCCAATTGAGCTCGCCCATGCACGGCGCATCTGATTTTCCGATCCTGCCTGACCCAAGCGAAACGCGCCCAACTTGCTGGTGATCAGCCGCAAATCTCGCCAGAGCTCGACTTCGGCGCGGGCGCTCTGCGTCCACGCGACGTTGTCGTTTTGAGACCAGCCTTCTCCGGTGTTCGGGCCAGCAGTCCAAAAAAGGAGCAATGGTCGCCTCAATTAGGATGCTTCGCAGGTGCGCTTTGACTTTGCTGCCGCGTCCGCGTGCGAGTCCGGTAGCTTGGCCCCGACGGCACTGGAGGCCAGGATGGGCCTCTCGAGCGAAGTGCCCCACGAGCGCCTGACGGAAGGGGTCAGGTGGCTGACGCCCCTCGGCCGCGGCGGGCATCCGTACAAGGAAAAAGGGGACACCCAGCGGGTGGCCACCAATGCATCAACCAGGAGGCCGCGATGTCGCGAAACGGGGGCCATTGTCTCCTCCCTTCTCTGAAGGCCAACGAAACTGACGCAGGTAGTTCAGCTGTCTGCGCTAATCGCACTGAGCCCGCTTGACATAGTCTGGCGATTTGGGCGTTGCACACAGCGATGCAGCCAGAAGCGGAGGCATCGTTCGGGACAGTGTCGGTTTGCCCCGTGTGGTTGGTTGTGACAGGTCCTGATGAGGATAGCTGGCCACACGCCGAAACGTTGGAGACGAAGAGGACCAGGGGTGCCGAGAAAGTGGGCATACTCAGTCCTAGACCGAAGGGTGCTCGACAACGGCTTCAACGTGGGTGCACAGTATGCCTTGTATGTTGCAGTGATGTGGGTATGTTTGGTAAACTACTATTAAGCCTTAGGGCGCAGGGGGCAGCAGGCCTCGTAAAAGGTTGTCGACTGGCACAGAACAGGCCTATCGGCAGGCTATCCATAGGCCTGTCATCGGCTTACCGACAGGCTACGCATAAGCCTTTAGTAGCCCTCTGCGCAGACTGCAGTAAGGCCCACGGCGCACGAGCCAACAGGCCTTTGCAGAGCCTGACTCTAGATCCGCCGTGGGCCCTTGCAAAGGCTATGCGTAGCCCTATAGTTAGACTATGATAAAAACTCTAGGCCTACAGACAGGCTATGCATAGACCGACAAAAGCTTAGAAGAGGCTATGCGTAGGCTGCCGAAACAGCTCCCAGTACTTCTTCGATGATCGCCTCTTGCCTACAAATGGATGTAAGCGTTACTGCATCACGCTTGGAAATATGATCCTCCTCCTCCACCTCCATCCTTCTCCCCCTCTCTCTTTCTGCTCGTCGAGTTCCAGGTATTCCTTCTCCCCCCATGGTCATCATCCTATTGATTCTCCTCACCCTCATCCTCCCCCCTTCTTCTCCTCGACCTCCTCCATTTGCTCCTGCCTCCTCCTCAGGCTGTTCCTCGTCCTCTTCCTCCTCCTCCTCCTCATCCAAATCCTCGCCCTCCTCGCCCCCCGCCTCGTCCTCCTCCTCCTCATCATCAGCATCATCAGCATCATCGTCATCGTCACCATCAGCATCATCAGCATCATCAGCATCATCATCAGCATCACCATCAGCAGCATCACCATCAGCAGCAGTATCATCTGTATCATCATCACCCTCACCATCATCGTTATCAGCATGCTCATCGTCATCATCATAATCATCATCATCATCATCATCATCATCATCATCATCATCATCATCATCATCATCATCATCATCAGCATCGTCATCAGCAGCAGCATCATCATCATACTAATCCACATCCTGGTCTTCATCCTCATCCTCCATTCCCCTTTCCTTCAGGGGTTGGCGCGCGCCTTCTTGCAGTCGCTTACGGCGAAAAACCAGATGTGTGGCCGAATCTTCTGGCTCAGCGAGCCTCGCGAGCGCGCGCGAGCGCGCGGGTGTACACCGTGTATGCCCTGCTTTCGGGAGGGAAGCGTTCCTCTTCCTCCTCCTCGTTTTCCTCCTCCTCCTCCTCCTCCTCTTCCTCCTCCTCCTCCTCCTTCCTCCTCCTCCTCCCTCTTCCCGCCCTCCTCCCTCCTCCTCCCTCCCCTCCCTCCTCCGGTTTTTCCAGATATGTTATGTTTTTCTCCACCTCCTCCCCTTCCTCCTCCTGTTCCTCATCCGAATGAAGAAAAAACACAACCACCACCACCATCATCATCCGCTCCATCGTCAGCATCATCAATCACTATCACCATCATCGTCATTATCGTCATCGTCATCATGATAATCATTGATCATGATCTTCATTGGCATCGTCATCATCGTCATCCTGATCGGCCTCATCATCGTCGTCCTCACCATCGCATACTCATCATCAGCAGCGACAGCAATCCGCCACCGTGCCCCCTGGCACGTTGAGGCGTGGTCGTATGCCAAATGCTGTCTGGTAGGTTTTGCGCAATCTTCCAAGGGACACTCCCCACTCCGGGCCGCACCTCGTTGCGCGCATCGGCCATACTCCTGGGGGGTCCCTGGGCGGTCAAGGCGCCTCCATGGGGCTCTCAAAGGACCAGGAGGCCCCCAAGACGGTCCAAGAGGACCCCGAGTCGCCGAATGATCGCTCGAAAACGACCAAATGGCCTCAAGATGACGCAAGAGGCTTCCGAAGCGCCCCAAAAGGCCTCCAAGAGGTCCCCCAAGAGGGCGTCCAAAGGCAAACGTTCGTGATGTCTCTTACGTGATTTAAAGATTTGGGCGTTCTCGCCTTTCTCCGCTTACCGACGCCCCAAGACGGCCCAAGAGGCCCCCAAGACCACCCTAAAACCGCCCAAAGAGCTTCCAAGAGGGCCCCAAGACGGCCTAAAAGTCCTGCATGGGAAAGGGCCGACACACCGTCGGTTCAAGAGCGGGCTCTGGAAACAAAGCCGAAACGCCAGCAATACCCTCGCCGATGCACATCCGTGTGCTCTCTATTTCCCGCCCTCCTTCCGCTGGTGCTGAAATGTTCTCCTGGTATCCATGCAATCACACTGGCGCAGATATCTTCAGTTCAGAAACTACTCTGCTCGTCTTGGACTCACCACAGGCCTTGGCCCTTGGGTCAGACTCAAGGATGCCTTCTGCCAGCCTCCATACGCTTGCGCAAGCGAATTAAATCAACATCATCATTCACCATCTTCCACATGCCAGTGAGAATCACGGCCCTCCGGGGCTCGAGGGACTTCGCATCAATATTCGTGAAACCGTCTGCTAGATTTGTCTCGGAATTCACCCATCGCACCAGAGCTCCTCCGTCGTGGATGTCTTGGCGAAACGTCATAGCTTCTTTCGCCATATGCTTGTCTGTGAAGCCGAGGCCTCTGCTCTCGCCCATGACCATCGCGTCGGAGGTTGGTTGGCAGTCGACCACTACAGCTGCTTCGATCTCACGAAGAAGCTGAAAGTCCTTGTTCAAATTCGTACATGGCCAGCCTCACATAGCCCAGCTCTCCGACCATATCGCTGAGACCCTGGGTCTCGGCCGAGTGTGAGAGAGCGCTTTTCACGGGCGCTTGCTTTGGGAAGATTCGGCGGCGCGTTTCGAACCCGGGGGCGGGCATCCCCCCCAACACTCAACGCTCGGCGCCGTCGATCAAAACCAGGGGGACTCCCCTCCCTCCCCCTTCCCGAAGCAACGCCCCATCGGCAGTGGCGGCCGCCAGCAGCGCCGACGGCGTGGACGCATCGACAATGACCAGAGGCGGCCCAAGGGAGGGGGGAGGGGGGTTTCAACCCCCTTCCCCCTTCCCTTCGGCGTCGGCGCCGGCGCCGGCGCCGGCGGCGGCCAGCAGCGCTGGCGACGGCGCCGGCGACGGCGGCGACGCAGCGACGATTACCACTACCACCACCACCACCACTACCACCGCCTCACCCCACCACCACACCACCACCACATACCCACCACACCACCACCACCACCACCACCACAACCACCACCACCACCACCAGCACCACCTCCACAAACCACCGCCACCACACACAACCCACCACCACCACCACCCAAACCACCACCACACCCACCAAACCACCACCACCACCAACACCACAACCCACCACAACCATCACCACCACCACCACAAACCACCACCAACCACCACCAAACCACCACCACCACCAACCACCACCCACCACCCACCACAACCACCACCACCACCACAACAAACCAATACACCACCACCACCACAACCACCACCACCGCCACCACCACCACCACAACCCACCACCACCGCCACCACCACCGTCATCCTCGTCGACGCTCCTCGCCGCCGCCGCCCGCCGCCGCAGGCGCCAGCGCCGGCCCAGAAAAAAACATCCTCGTCCCCGCCGCCACCGCCAGCCGCCGCCGACGCAGGCGCCGGCCCGAGGAGAGGGAGAGAGGAGAAGTAAAGGAAGAGGGGGGGCGGGTCAAAAGCCCCCCCCCCTCCGTCAAGGGGGGGGGGTGAACACCCCCCCCTCATCCAAGGCGGGGGGGGGGAAGGTTCCAACCCCCCCCAAGTCCAAGCGACCACAGAGCGCGCTCTTTCGAAGGTGTAGATCTCGCCACCCGCGGTAGCTTCTTGCTTTCCCAAGAAATGAAAGATACTGGGATGAACTCCTCATCTAAGCACGCCACGTCGACTGCGCAAATAATCATCCTGCCTTGATTGGATCCATCTGCTCCGTTTGCCAAAGCAGCTTCTGCAACGCCTGCCACCGTAGCTGTGGTATGGGCATACAACACAAGAGGGACCTGGGCGTGCTGATGAGCACGTCTGACCAGCTTGATGAGATCTACCAAGCGTTGCTCGTCCGCCTTGCTCTGCCCTTCATGGGGGGGATCGCTGCACAGAGCCAGGCTCCAAGAATCCCGCGGACCTTGGATCTTTCTCCATCTGAGAAAACGTCGGGTAATCGGGCCCGCCGCTCCTTGGGATTATAAAACACTCGATCGCCGGGGCGTACCCGGTCTGTGACATGGAAATGCGCCCATTGGCATGCTGTGATATCTGCATTCCACAGTTCACATATGTGCCGGCCTCCCATCTGCCGAAGTCGCAGAACGCCTCGATGGCCTGGAGCGCGTCGTAGGACTCCTCGTAGGACTCGGTGAACGCGTGCTCGAACTCGGCCACGCGGACGAGAGCCAGACCGATCAGCTTCCCGCTCTGTCGTAGACTCCATACGCATGGCTCGTAGCGATGTGTAAACCACCCTAGCTCTTTCAGGTCGCGATAGGTCCTTTGCCCCGACTTGCGAGAAGCGGTCGTCAGGCCGTACACGGCCTTTTGAGCTTCAGCACGTCGCCGGGCCGCATGCCGAGAGCCTCGACTAGCTCCTTGACCGGGTCCACGAGCACCTCGTCGTCGGCGTCAATTGGGTCGCCCTGGACAAAGGCGGCCTTGACGTCGACCTTGATCAGGTGAATCGCGTCGCGAGCTGCCTTCCAGCGGACAAGGTTACAAGCCCGTCGCGATGGCGTCGGGCTCTTCTTAGTCTTCTGTTCCAGCAGCCTGGGATGAGTGAAACCCAGAATCAATAGACGCGCCTTCGTATTCCCGTCACCCATCCAAGTCAGTACCCACCGCATCTTCATGAGCACCTCGCGGTTGCCTGACAAATGCTCTCGTTGGACTCGATGGTCTCGTGCGTGAGCCATCCCGTGATATCTTCATGCTTCGCCTGGCTGAACAGCTTCAACTGGTCCTTGATGAGATCTCGCAAGCGCAAATCCACACGATCTCGTCGAACTTGGTTCGCCAAGTAGATGCCAGGCTTCCGCAGGAAGTGCTTGACATTGTCGAGCGTGTACGCCACTTGGCAGGTGTGGAGGGTGAGGCAAGATGTTGGTGCGAAGCACGATCTTACACCCCACCAGAGCACACCTTAGGCCTCACCAGAAACGGCGGCGAGAAAACGATCGCAATGTGGGCGAAGGACCACGAACTTGTATGCGAGAAGGCGCTTGGCAAGTTGGCGCCGCCGCCTGGTGGCAGCAGCGTGAACGTCGCTGGACACGCCGGCGGGGACGTCCCACGCTGCGCGGATCCACCCACTCAGCAGAAGGGCTGAACGCTCAGGCTCGGGGAGCTCCGGGGCGGCAGACGTAGGCCACGACTGTGTCTGACTGCTTCGGTGGCAGGGCACTGCCAGAGGATGTGTCTCGTGGTGGCCCTGGTGCCGCACGCAGCGCAGTCCTGGGCCACAGCGTTGTCGACGTGGTGGAGGCGGTCTGGGCTGGGCTCGCCCCCGACGACGCACCGCCAGGCCCAGCTGTGATCTGGGCCGTTGTCGCCACTTCTATCTGCGGCAGCTCCTGCAGCCGCGTTTCACGGATTCTGGCGTCCTGCACTGCGAACTGCACCAGGTCGTCTGCCTCGGATTTGTCCAGCCTAGGCTTTTTCTCCTCCAGCGGAAAAATGGGCTCATCACTCCTCTGACTTTGTTGCCGCAAAGGAGGTGCTGACGAAGGCCTGGATTATTCTTGTCTGATTCTCCCAAGCGGCTCCAAGAGGCCTACAAGAAGCTCCGAAGAAACTATGGGGGCATTCAAGAGGCAGCTGGCCTTTCTGCTCGCCCTCCTCCTCCTCCTCCGCCTCCTCCTCCTCCTCCTCCTCCTCCTCCTCCTCATCATCATCATCATCATCATCATCATCATCATCATCATCATCATCATCATCATCATCATCATCGTCGTCAACAGCGTCACAGTCATCATCGTCGTCATCCTCATCCTCATCCTCATCCTCATCCTCATCCTCATCATCATCATCATCATCATCATCATCGTCGTCGTCGTCGTCATCATCATCATCATCATCATCATCACCATCATCACCATGATCAGTATCATCATCATCATCATCATCATCATCATCATCATCATCATCATCATCATTATCATCATCACTGATA